GAACGAAGGAATGATATGGGGCATACGTAGAAGGCACCACATACAGTAAATAAGGATGCAACGTGGAGCTGCAGAGCAATGAAGAAGGCTCACAAAAGTGTAAAAGCGCGATAGCAAACACTTCAAAATGACCCCGAATAGATCCTAAAGGGAGGAAGAAGAAACCACCAATGTGAACATCATATTCCTCGCCTCGAAGGATTCTGGGTGCTGATGACTCATCGTAACAGACCCTGCCAGAAAGAAGCCACCAACCTTCATCCCCTGTGGAGCAGGGAAGGGTGTGCTCATCACCAGGAGAAAGGACAGAAGCTAAGTTTGTCTATAAAAACTTTAACTGCATCACTATTCTTTCTTTTTTGGTAAGTCATAGAATCACAGAATGGTTTGGATTAGAAGGGACCTTCAAGGATCGTCTAGTCCAACACCCCTGCCATGGGCAGGGAATATTAGATCTAGGTGAATAATGATTCTTGAGATAAAACTTCAATTATATATGTAAACCAAGCGTTCGTTGTTATTTTATTAGGTGTACCTCCTCTTTGCCCATAAACAAGATTGAGCAGTTCGTGAGCACCAGTGTAAATGCATCTGGAGGCGAAGCAAACCAGTCACGCTGTGAGGAGATGCTTCCAGTGCTGCCCCAGCAGCAAGGCAGGTGCATATCCCACTGTTTTTACAATGAATTATGCATCCACATGCTGAGAGACCCCCCGGACAAGAGAGACATGGACATTCTGGAGTGAGTCCAGCGGAGGGCCATGGGGGTGATGAAGGGGCCAGAGTATCTGAACTGGGGAGCAGCTAAGGGAGGTGGGGTCTTAGCCTGGGAGGAGGGGGCTCTGGGGGTCCTATACCTGATAGGTGTGTAAAGGAGATGGATCCAGACTCTTCTTAGAGGTTCCAGTGACAGGACAAGAGGCAACAGGCTCTCAGTGAGACACAGGAAATTCCATTTAAACATGAAAAAAAGCTTTTTTTCCTGTGAGTGTGACCAAACACTGGCACAGATTGCCCAGAGAGGCTGTGGCATCTCCATTCTCAGAGATATTCAAACCCAACTGGACATGTTCTGAGCAGGAGTTGGATCAGCTGATGTCCAGAGGTCCCTGCCCACCTCAGCCAGTCTGGGGTTGATTCTGTGATTTTCCTTTTGTTTATGTACCAAATCTATTAAGTCCATGTTCGTGTTTCATCTAACCTACTGCGTCCTGGTGAGACAGTAAGAGATGTGGCAAAACCAATCCAACAAGCCACCCTTCACCGAAGACAATCCTAAAAGGAGAGGAGTATGGGATCTGCAGGATCACCTGCCAGCTACTTGGTCAAGATGCTCCAGCAGAGAGGAGAAACCAGCGGCCGTATGGTAAATGAATGTTGCTGTCTCCTACGGGCACTATTCATATACACTTCCGAGAAGGGCTGAGAAGGCAGAATGAAGAAGGGATTGGGGAAGGGATTGGGGAAGGGAAGGGACTGGGGAGGGGAAGGGAAGGGAAGCACAGGCTGTACATGCCTGCCCTTAAATCTTCGGTGGTGAGAAAACATACCTATCTGCCCGCAGTTTGCTGTGCCGGGTGCTCGGCAAGAGCACATCATCACTGCGCCATGGGCACGTTGATTGAGTTGAGCCTTCCCATGCCACGCTGTCTTTGATGAGCCTTTTCCTCAAATTTCATTTCCAGTTCTCACTGCAGCTGAGTGATCACATTTTGCCTCTCAGTCCTTTGGTCAAGACGCAAAATCAGTGGGTTCACTGAAAGCCCTTCTGATTACGCGCACTAATTTTCTCTGAATTCAAGATGAGGAGGGGCTAATTCCTCCTCAGACCCCTTCTCCAGCCTGAGTGCACTAATTCTCCTTTTCTGCTTTTTTCCTCTCCAGGAAAACTGTAATAGCTCCTTTCTGTAGACAATCTAATGCTTTAAGCTATTACTCTAAAGTATCGCTATGGTTTCCAATAAAATTTTATTTGACATTTAGTTAAAATCCATTTTCTGCTACAACTGAGTTTTTTTCCCTAGTCCCTTGATGGACACTTCAAGCAGAATTCATTGTCATTGTCTTAAAGGTCAAAAGTTGTGGGTTTTTTTTCAGACCTTGCTTTGTAAAGCAAACTGTTACTCAGGATTATGAGGCGCCGCGGTAAGCTGTGACAGTCCATGAAACCATTCTTCCCCGCAATTACACGGATTTCATAACAGTTGTGTGAGCAAACAGAAAGACCTTCACTGCAAAATCAATCACCATCGTGGAGTCCCCGTAAAAGAACCAGCGCAGCACCAGTCCTGCCCGCGAGAGCCAGCTGGGAGTGGGGAGCATCTCCTTTCAGAAACACAAAACCCACCAGGATTTCTGGAGCCGGTGGCTCCGAGACACGGAGCGGGGATCTCCCCACCTCTGCGCGGGACAGATCCCGCTTTGCTCACAGGGACCCCGCGCCGGTGGCTCTGCACCAAGTCAACCAGCGTGGAGACGCCTGCAACGTCAGCCAAAGGTTTTCCTTTAAATATGTGATGAGGAATTAAAAATATAAATGGGAATATTAAACAGAAACTGCTTTTAGATGCCTTTTTTTTTTGGTAATTTTTCATACATATAATTTAATTTGTTCAATAAAACCATTCTAACAAACTATGCTGTATCACGGAATAATGGTTCAATGGTAGTTACATCAAATTACATCTCTTACACGATGTGTTAATGTTTTTAACTTTCACGCCTACTTCTAGAGAGCTTTGTGTGTTCTTGATCATTTCCTCCTTTTGGTTTTAATTGGAATTGGCTGATAAATGTCTGCAGCCTGTTAAAACAGACTTAAAAATATACTCATATTTAGGGTGCCTTTATTTCTGCGTTCCTGAGCCACAGCAGTGTTACAGTTTTCACCGATCTCAGCTGAAATCCAAAGAAGCTTTTAGTTTCTAAAAGTCTGGTTAGGCACACACTTTTTAAGGCATACAAAAGCGATGCTGTCACTTTGGAAAACTGGAAATGCAGAACCTGCTACTGGTGAAACGTCACAGAAAGCTCCAAGTGATGGATAGTTGCACTTACCAGATGGGGAGATGTGTCTCCAAGAGATGGAAGGCTCTGGCTTCCCCGTGGCCAGGCACACCAGAGTAACATTGCTTCCTTCGTTCACAACGATGTCACTCGAAATACGGAATATCTTCGGAGAAACTGGAATGAAACAAGGAGAAAGTGGTAAGGGAAAGGTGGGGAATCAGGGCAATCCCACCAGAGCACGATAACGGAGGAGAGCTGGGACACCTCTGTTGCCATTATTGACAAAAATGCATGCACTTGTTGAAATATGATTGTGCAAAAACCTTGTTTAGGTGCCACCACAATTATTTCCATCACGTTTGCAGGAGCTCAGCCATGGATTTGAAATGCTGCACATAAGAAAGCAGCAATTTCCTCTGCTTTGTGCAAGGCAGGTGTTGCTAATGGGTTCCCAGTAAACTGCTACTGATGGATGCTCTTGTTTAAGAGAAGGATGAGTTTTCTCATGACAGTTCGAAAATAAGACAAAATTAAATATTTCTTGTACTTTTAAAAATAATTATGCCTATTAGATCTGCTCTGTGTGTACTTAGAGAGTCATATCTGTTCCTGGAGAAGACTAAAATACATTTATTTTTCTTGCTTTATGTTGGTTTTAGGCTTGAAGTAGCAACATGGCTTAGAAGAAATAAACTAGATTTTTTCTTTCATTTCATCCGCAGAATTCGTCACTAAACTTCACTTTCTGTGCTATTTATAATCTGGGCCTAAGAGAATAGAGTTCCACATGGATGGAAAATGATGGAAAGCATTAAGTGGCCTACCTTTTAGGGAATGCTTTACTTCTTGTAATGCTGCATAAGGAGGAAAGGAACTGAGGGTCCCAGCAATGAAGGCAGGAATTCTGGATTTCAGAATGAATCTTTCTTTCCAAAGAAATATGTTATTTCTTTACCAGTCTTATTATTACATTTAGTGTAGAAATCAAATCAATGCAGTAACGAGGCATACCCTGTTGGTGTTTCTGAAAAGCACTATTCTCTCTATATAAATAACAAGTTTGGTACAAATATCTGTAAAAGATACAGATCTTACACGTGGGTGTTTCAGAACCTTCTGTAATGACTGCTTTAAAATCAAAGTGCTCTGCAAGGTAAACGGGTACCAATAAAATGAGGAAAAAAAGCTCATTATCTTCCATTTTCCTAACCAAAGTCTTTGCCCAAATGGAGCTTTACGCTCCTGAATGCCACAGTCTTGTCTCACTTTTTTGCTCCAGTTTGTCACAGCCAAAATCCCACCATCTGAACCATACATGCAGCTTTGCAATCATTTCAGAAACATGAATACATTATCAGCATCCCTTCAATGTACTTTGAAAAGTACAGAGCTTTGTCATATGCACAGACTGGTTCTGTGTGCTTTGGGATCTCCACCTGCAGACCTTCTCCAGTCCTTTTCCCTGGCCCAGTGACTGGAAGTATTTCAGTCATAGAAATGAGTTGGGGTCAGACAGACTTCAAAAAGCTGGAAATTGCCCATGCTTGCTTGTGGCTACGCATTTGTGAGGAAAGAAAATTCAAAGTCTGTGTAGAGTATTTTTAATTAGCAGAGAAGCGTTGTCTTTAGGGAAAATGAAGGTTTGGGGAAGGCTGAACCTTCCCCATTTTCCAAAGGGTAAACAGGTTTACACAATTGCTGAAACAGAGATATTCTTCTGAATTTGCCAGAGTCTAACTCACAAAGGTGACCATCCACTCTTCCCTACTTCACTTGATGACCTGAAAAAGCATCCAGTCATCAGAGTGTCTTTAGGAGCTGAAACATAGAGAAGGGTTGTTTCCACCTAAAGGGATAACTCATTCATCAGATCTCTTTGCAGATCCCCGCAATGAACCCAGTACTCAACTTCCTTCTGCAGAAGTCTCTCCTGTCCTAAAGGAGACCCTGAACAGCCTCCACCTACACGCCCACCCACAGCAGCTATGCCATGACACGACCCTTCCTCGGGGTCCCCCATGCCTGAAATGGGGTGTTGTTAATACAGGTCTCCCCCACACCCCATTCCAGCCCGAGTTAAAGATCATCAACGTTTCAGCAACAGACAAAACATCGACAGGAATTCTTATTTCTGTGTACAGAGTATGAAAAACTCCTTCCTAAAGACAGCTGGTGAGGGGTCATTCTATCCAAAACGTAGAAATCCGTCCGAGAGTAGAACACAATGAGTAATGTGGCATACACAGTGGCTTTAGTCAGTCTACAATATTTTAAAAATGTCTTCCTAGATCTGAGCTACTTATTTCTTTATACTTCAAGAATGAACGTACTTGCAGGAAGCCAGGCTAAAGAATCAAATAACTCAAACCAGTTCTTCTCACAAGTAGATGTGTACAACTGACTGATGCAATATCTGTTTGGAACTGTGGAAATATCTTCCAGCTTAAGTAAATGTTACGGTGTAAGATTTCCAACAGCATTAAACTTCTTATTTGAGATTCTGCACCTTTGAAGGTAGAAAAAGAGATTTGCTCATGTTCTGGCTTTACTGAAGTAGTACCAGAGAGGGATTTTTCACACCTGTTCATCCAGGTGGGTTTTATTTGCCTTAAACTTGTCACTAACCACAGAGGAGGTGGCTGGCGCCTGCTGTGCTGCCACGAGGGCACCTGGGTGGCCAGAACAAACCAAAGTAAGCCAAAGGAGGTCTCCTGGAGCTCAGGCCATGCCAGGGTTAGGTTTAGGCCAGTCTCTTCCCTGAACCCATCGCTCATTGTTCAGCATCCTGATTTAATTAGCGTGACTGATAAAAATGGATTAGAGCTACAGTAACATCAGTTTCAGTGGGAATGAGGAGCTCTTGGCACGCTCTGATGCCCGACCTTCAGTGTATCCACGGTAGGTCCCATGAGCAGAATGGCATAAGGATCCAGCAGAAAAGCTGGATCATGTAAGCAATTGTTGTCAAATCTCCCAAAATACAAATTTCCCAAGAAAATACACTAACAGTCCTGCCACAGGCAAGAATCAAGAATGGAAGCGACAGGAGTCCATCGAGTTCACACGGACGAATGACATTTCTTTTCCATGACAAAGAAGTTTACTCCCTTCTCTGCTGCTTAACGAAGCGTTGTCTTCGTCCCCCTCTGCCTTTCCCCAGAAGGTTTTATTCGCTTTTTCTCTCTCACCCCCTTCTCAAGTGTCCTCTTCTCAGAAAAACCAGCATATTTTCCCCCACGCTCAGCTCCCGAATACTTTAATTTCTCAAATATTTTAATTAATTTTTCAAATATTTTAATTTCTATAAAAGCATATGTTCTAGTGGCAAACAGGGAAAATCTTTCTCTGGTGATTCTACAGGTAAGCGATGGGTATGGAGCACAGAATTCCATACAAACGGAATTCAACCGTATTAAGAGATCTGTGGAATATATGGCCAGAGGGGCCACCAGGATAATTCGCCCTGAGCTCAGGTAGTCGTGGGCTCTAGAAGCCTCCCCCGAAGCCTGCCTGCAGTGCGTGTTTTAGAAAGCTGTCCAGCCTTGTCCTGGTGATTCCAGGTGATGCTCACACTGCCACATCTGGTGAGCACTTTCAGTGATTAAATACCCGCTTTGCTGCCAGGAAACAGCATCTTAGTTGGAAATTGCATTTGGGTAAATTCAGCTTTCAGAAATCAGATCTTGTTATGTTGCTGTCTGCAAGACTGAACATCCCCTTTACTAGCAAGCATCTTCCCTACGAGTCAGGACCCATACAACGTGGCAAATCACCTCTTTGTCTTTCTCTGCAGAAGATCTGTGCACCATAAGCTTAATTTTTGTAAGGCTTCCTAGATAGTATTTGTTTCTCTCTTTTGAGGAGTACCAGAATCATCCTGAAACGTGAACAGTGGATCAAGGCGTAACTGCCCAGCTAGAGTCTGGCCAACGCTGCGTACAGAGCTAAACCCACTACTTTATCTCAGCTTTATTTCCTCTTTCCCTGTGCAGTTATTATCAGCCAGACTATTATCCCTATTATCCCTTCAGCTCCTGCCGTCGCCGGCTGCAGAGGGATGGAGGGGGCAGGAGGCACTGAAGGGATGAGGATGGTTCGCTGCCCAGATCTCCTGCATGGTCAGAAATACCAGTTACATATGCTCCTACACTAAGGTAAAGTCCTGGAGGCTCCTGCTGGCCCCATTGCTCATCCACCTGCAATTCCCTCCCAAGCAGTACTATGGGAACCTATTCTTAATTCCCTCTTTAAAATTGCACATTCGTAGGTGTTCCCAGCAGGAGGAGAGAGAACAGCAGCACCTCTGGGGCTCCGTCATGGAAGAAACCTGCCCGCTCTGTCTAAGGGCACCCTCTGGTTTCCGCCACGGCAGCTCTGTTAAGACTTTCCCAAATCCAAAGTCTCCCCCAGTGACTGGCGGAGCTGCGTTCTCACCCGGCGGGTTGGAGGAGCTGCTCTGTCTGACCGGTTCTGCTCGCCCTGAAACCCGACCGACCGATGCTGATGGAACGGGGTCTCTGGCTGACAACATATTTGAGCTCCTACTTCTTCCTGGAGTCCAGAATTACGTGGGCCGTTATTTTGCAGGGGATTGACATCGAGTCGATAGCTCGTTGCAGGGTCTCATTTCCCATTTTCAAGGACTGGAATTATATCCCTAGTTACATTCCCGTGTACATGAATGATGCAGCATAATAAAGCTTAGTAGTGTAGTGGAAATGACTGGAGGGTGGAGCTCCTTTTTTAGCTGCTGTTGCTTTTTAAACATGGGAAAGGATGTCTTCTTTTCAGTGCAATTTAAAATTATCAGGTAGATAATCTGAAACCTCAGCCTAAGTGCTCCCATCTTGTTTTTTAAAATACAGCCCCTCCTTTGAAATGTGCAAGCAAAGTCTGTGTAGCATCGAGATTACAACATATGTGGCTGGACATCAGCTCTGTTCCTTCAGGTTTCCCCAGAGAATGGTGATGATGAGTTCTGAACTCCTTTTTTCACGGTAACATTTATTAAATCATAGGGTAGCCAACTGCCTTTTCAGATCATAATGTAATCAATCCCACTTTATATGCAGAACATAGCAATCCTGATAGAAAATGTAAAAGCGATGAGAAGAATTGGACCACAACTTCAGAAGTGTGACGTCTGGGAGTTTGGCAAGAAAGATTTTATCATC